TTATTGTAAAGCTTTTTAAGTCTTCAAGTACCAAATATGGTTGTTCTGATGACTGTCAAATGACTGGGTAAGTTCTGGCTGAGCAAAGAACACTAGAAGTCAGGCAGAGTGTGGGGAATGCAAATGGTCTTGAAGAAGGTCAACTTTACTTCAGACTTGAAATCTGGTTTTTTACACAACTCTCTCAAACACATATTTTAATCAAGCAAATTAAACACATACTGTCTTCATTAGGCTTTTATTTTACAAAATTAACATTCATTTAATGTCTTAAAAAAAGATACTGACCTGTCAGTTGTTTTCTAAATTCTTCCCCTTGTTGAGGGCAGAGACTTAATAGGATACGGGAGGGTTAGGAGGAGGGGTTTAATGGAGAGAGCTAGCTGCTTGAATGACACTTGGAGGAAAAAACAGGACTTTCAGAGATTGAGTTAGGGATGTCACTCTGGCTTGAGTGAACAGATGCGTGTAGGAAATCAAATTTCAATTTTGGGATACAAAGTTAGTATACATCTATATGGAGGGCAACCCTGATGAAAGTTTCAGAAAAGAATAGGCAGGCTTCCAGAAATGACATTGTCTTTAATGTAATCCATCTTTGTGGTTACTCTGGCTAAAAAGGGTAGTGAATACAGTATTCTGCTGCTTCTTGACTATCCAAACTGTTTCCATTTGAATTGTCTTAGGAAGATTCTGAAGATCACCTGGCAAGATAAGGTACCTAACAACTGATGTCCTCTCCGAGGCTGACCTGACAAGCATTCAAATCCTACTGCAGAGAGCACAACTGCCATGGGCTGGCCACATTGTGCGAATGCCTACCATATGTTTGCCAGAAAGACTACTGTATGGAGAACTACCACAAGGCAAATGCTCACGCACAGGTTAGAAGAAGCAGTACAGGAACACTCTCAAGGTTTCTCAGAAGAACTTTAGTGTCAATTGTGAGACATGGTAGATGTTAGCACAGGACTGCCCAGCCTGGTATGCCCACATCCAGCATGGCACTAGGCTCTCCATGAGCCAAGCAGAAATGCAGGAGCACAAGGGAAATGTGACATGTGTGCATTTAGAGATATCTCCACCCCAAATGTTCAAATGGACTGGTTGTTCCCAACCTATGGTAGAGCCTTCCAAACCCATATTGGATTGATGAGCCACAGTCAAATACACTGTCCCTTGACACCAACACTGGGATGTCATTGGTCCTCCTTGAGTACAAAGGTAGAACAACAACAATAAAAACCATTTGACCAACTATCTTCTCTAATGTTGTTTCCCACATCTGCGTCAAAATCATCCAGGATTCCATGAAAGATTTCTCAGGGATAACTTTGTTCAACTTTGGATTAGTAATTTCAAGGGAAGCATAAAACAGACAGATGTGTGCTTGCTAGAGGAGTTCAGCGTTATCATGAACTGGAAGAAAAGAAAGTGGTGGTATTGATGGTGAGGTCCTACAGATGCTCTTGTCCAAAGATGACACTGAGCTGACTGTATGTATGTAGAACCTCCTAAGTGAGATCTCTACTCTCTCCAATAAATAGTCCTAATACTCCATACAGGAAGAAGTAAGTCAAAGAAGTAGAATGTCTACTGGTAGACTGCAATATGCATTTGGATGGTCAACCTGCAGAACTAGTCTAACAGTATATTGATCTTAGATATTCTAAGAGGACAATGAGCTGACCCCAGAATTGAACAGAAGCAGAGCAGGCTGGATTACCTTTGGAAAACTGGACAGTTTTTAATAACCTCAGATATTCCCCTGAAATAAAATCTCATCTTTTTAACATCAACATTAAAATCAACTCCAAAGACCATAATTTCATGCAGAAAGTAAATCAAAGTAAATGGCAGAGCTCAGCAGAAAGTCTCTTAGTCAGCAAACATCTCCCTGAACAGCCAAGTTGAGAGATTTCTCCTCAAGGCAACACCAAATTAGAGTATAAACTCATTTGTAAAATCTTTTTTTAAAAAAAGGATGCAGATGATTACTGTCAGCTTTGTCTCTTAAAACAAAGGACAGTCACTAGAAAGTAAAACCAATCTAAAACATATGACAATTAACTATTTTTTCCATCAAGTACCCTTGGTCACCCTACCTGGATCTTAACATCACAATCTCCAAGACACAGAAGAAGTAGAAATTGTTTTAAAGTAGGAAAAGTAGAGAATCACTACTGGACAAGTATGTCATTAATAGAGGATGTTCGTATCAACTTCTAAGGATGTTGAGTGATGGTTTTTAAGGTATATAAAGAATGGGAAGATACAAAGGTATGGACAAAATGTCACTCTGATGAAAGGTATAGGCAACATGAGGATTTTCACAAATGATATCTGACAATGGAGCACACCTCAAAATTAACTGAAAATTCAGAGAGAATAATATCTTATTAGCAAACATATATTTATTAATTATGAAAAAACATTTGAGTTATTAAAGTAAAATGCTGTCTTCCAGACTCTTTCCAACAAGGTGCTCTCCCATCCAGACACCATCCTCATTTTATTTATTGACAGCTTAAATCATTTTATTTAATGACCCTCTGATTAGAAACATCCAGTGAGGCATAAAACTGGAGATATGTGCCAGTGAAATTGAGCAAGTCAGCTTAGAGTCTAAGGTGAAAAGGGTCTGCTGTGGATGCTGAGGTTCTGTACATGCTCCTGTTTGCAGATGACATCCTGTCATGCCTCAAGCCACAAGACATTTGCAGAGCCTCCTGAAAGAGATCTGCAATCCCTCAAAGGAGTTTGGCCTGACCATCTGTGCAGGGAAGACCAAATGGATGCCCAGACGCCAACATGTCTGAATGGACACCTACTGCATCTGTCCAATGGGACCTATATCTGGTCAGAGATGAAGAGGAGGAGAGCAGCTGGATGCTCTGGAAAACGCAAAACCTTTTTGAACAACCACGCTTCCAAGTTAAGAACATCCAAAGTCAATAGAGAAGTGTATTTGGGCACAAGGAGGTTACACATTACAAAAACGAAATTCACATGTTAAGAATGTCATGAAAAAACATGACATGCATAAAAAGATGAGATGGTCCCTGAAGTGAGGCAAGATTACCAATGATACCTTGTACCTCCAGTGGGATACAAAAATGTCAAGAGAATGAACTGGGTGCACACCCCTGCCAGGGACCATTTTACGGAAGACATCGACAACCATCAGAGATTGTTCCGCATATCACTGGAGGGGGGCACCCACACTGATGAGGTTATTATTAGGGTACAAGCAAGGCTTTTGTCTCCTACCAGATTGTGTGAGCTGGCAGGCAGTCACCAAGGGTGACCGCAAAGGTTCCTACAGGCTTTTTCTCAAATGTTTTCCTCATGATGTTTAAAACGCCTTTTCTCCATATGCCTTTCTCTTTTGGAGGACTGGTGTCATCTTTGTTATTGTTGAAAAGAAGGAGGTCATACATTAGGGAAAAAAGAGGGAAAAAATGTCAGAATCATAATTCAAATACATGGACTATGTTTGCTTAAATGGGATCCCTTTAACATAAAAAAGGCACCAATTAACAATGTTTCAGATCATCCTGATCCACCTCTTGTCTTTCATTACCAAATGAAAATTACTTTCTTCCATATGTTTTAAAATACACTGATTGTCATTTTTCATCCCTTTATAATGTGAATTATCCTGAATTTTTCAACGAAAAAATTCCACAAATGTTCACAAAGTACCTATTATAACTAAGGTAACTGTGCTAGAAATACAGAGAAAGATTCTTGAAATATTCTAGATCCATGATCTTATACTCAAACATGTTTGAGTTTCTAATACTCCTCTTTCTACTAATATATCTATACACACACACATGCACATATATGTGTGAGTACATGTGTTGACAGTCTGATCTCTTTTTTCTTGGACTAGATGTGTAATACTAAGAGCTCATTCTGGGAATACAGATTCCTGCTCAGAGAGAGGCTTCCAGCCCTCAGAGGTTAAGAGCCTTGCTCAATGTTATACAATCCCTATGTGTCGGGGGAAGATTTGAATTCAGGTTTTTTTTCTGATTCTGAGGCCAGCTTTCTACCTGTTATTCCAGGCTACCTCTCATTCTTCTCTCTAAACAAAAAAAAAATAAAGAGCTGAATAATATGCCTGGGGCTTTCAGATTTCCACTCCAGATAATATGATCCCTGTGTTTTCCTGCTAAGTAGGCCTTAGTGAGAGTTTCTTAAAGGAATATTTAAATGATTAGTGCTGGTAGTAATGAATCTTGTTAAGAAAAGATGGAGCCTGAAATGACTCAATTCTAAAGCAGGCCTCTTTAAGTATTAGGGTCGCCCATCTAGTTTATGTCTATGTGAGTGACATGCTAATTTCTTCATACTGTCCAGTTTTAATTTCTATATAAAACAATGGGTGTTAGAACTGAATTTTGTACTTGCAATTTTAAAGAATGCATTTTGTTTCCTTTAAAATTTTTTAATATATATATACTATCAAGCTACATTTTTGAGCCTAAGCCTGAAGGGGAAAGTACCCCCAGGTCTATGGCCCTTATAAGCCAGATAAACCCAACCACTGAGGGTTAGCAAAAATAATATTTAGGAAAGAAATTTTAAAGTTAAAATATTTTTATGACTTCATATTCTAAGTAGTCTTAATCACCAAATGTGTTAAATTTCTCCAATAAAAGCATGCACCTTTACTGAGTAGTTTTCTTTCTGACTCTTCTTTGGGGAGTGTGGACTCTGAAATTTTGGTTCTGCTTTAGCACCAAGAAAAGTCTGCCTAATACTGAGACAATGGCAAGGTGTTTTTGACAACTGATCTGCTTTGCTGAAGGAAGAAGAGGTTAGAAGTGGCTCTAGGCCTTTATTAATTTATACTTACCATGGTAGTGTGACAGCTGATGGCAAATTAAAGGGCTGAAGTTGTAAGACTGGGAGGAATCTTTGCTCTAGTGGGCACATGAGAGGTGGATGTTGAAATAACAGCAGAAGCAGGAATGTGTGCGATATCATAATCAATGCTTGGTCTGGTTGGCTCATCTAGAAAGTAATACAATATATTAACCTGTTAAGTGGTGTCATTAATAGATCAGAACTAAAGAATAAAGAGATTCTGAGTACAAATTTTTAAAACTGGATTAGTCAGTCATAAATCAACCAGGAAGTGTGGCAGACTTGATCTTATTTCCCAGCAATATTTTAGTAAAGAGAGGAGCCAATGACATTTAAACTGATTATCACCATTGTAAGATACAGCAACACAAAACATTAAGTTGGACCAAACATGTTCTCTGCATAAAAAGCAAATACTATCAAAGTAATTAGTTTAGAATCCCCACTTTTATAGTTCAGCTTGAAGTCCAACTCAATAGGAACACAGTATATATGTAAGTCTTTTTTGCTTGGAAAAAAGAATCAGCAATTCAATTAATAAGATAATACTTGAAAAAAATAAGTGACATTATTCAAGAAGAGAATTATAAAACAGTAAGAAGAAATAAAAAAAATTATTTTGGAATTGGTATGTCCATATACTAAATTAGTTCTTTCATTAACTGATTATACAGGATATTGAAGAATAGCTCCCCAAATTTACAAAATCAGAAGGGTTAAATGCAGAAAAACACTCCTTCACCACAATTTCAGAGGCACCACAAGCATGTTTTGCATTATTCAAAGAAACCAATAAGAGAAAACATGATTAAAATTGAATTCTCCTTTGAAGAAGTACCAAAATATACAGCTTTACTTATAAAAACCTCACTGATTGATCTTTTCAAATATTCTGAAGCAATTCATGATTTTGTGGAGCATATATGTGTTTAGACACAATGAAGATATATACATATGTATATGTTCATGAGTGTGTGTATATATGTATAGATGCATGTGTATATACATATGTGTATACACACACAGAGGTAAGCACTTTTGCTTATCAGTGAAAAAATGAAAGTTCAAATGCTAGAAAGTCTTCAGTTTGGGGAAATAATGATATATTACTATAATGAATACATCGTAGATGCTTTGATTCAACAGATTACAAAAATGTATTAATCATGTAAAAGACATGATAATTACCTTTTTAAATAAAATAAAATTTCAAATGAAGATGTGACCATGTATTTACTATTTCTCTAAAAACATAAATGCCTCCCAAAATCATTAATTTCTTTAAAATATTAGAATATCAGGATATAATCAGCAAAGCTTCACAAATGGCATGATACAGTAACTTTTTAAAAATTATTTTGTCTTTAAAAATTTGTCATCTAAATCTTTCAATGATAAATTGGTTATTTTATCCAAGATTGTATGCTTTACTTCAGTAGTTACGGAAATGATAGAAAATATTTTTTGAGCTAGCAATTCAAAATATATAAAGCCCTGAAAGTAGGAATGTAATACTCCCTTTTCCAAAAGCAAGGGACATTGGCAGATGAGAGAATTCATGAAGTCTAAAAATAAAAAGATTCTCAAGGTCAAGTGTTCTAACTAGTGGTGGTAGTGTTTTTCTCAATGAAGCAGGATTTAATATGACAGCTTCAACAAATAAGATGTATTTTTAAATATAAGATTAGAAATAAATTGAGTGGCGATGTGTCAAAACAGTTGGTAAAAGAAATTAAGTAATGAATTGTTGACCTAATTAGAGAGCAAAGACAAAATAAACACCAAATTAGGAATTCATCTCAACATCCTCTTAAACTTCACCCAACTCTAAAATCATAGTGCTTGTAAACAATTGGTTCCACGTACTTGCAAAATTAAGTATATGTATAAAGATGTATAAACACATACATGTACATACATGCACATATACTGGTGTGTATGCATGAGACATTCTCTACAGTGTAAATATCATATTCAAATAAGAGATTAATTGAGACAAATTCTAAAAAACAACAGAATTCTACCTCAGAGAAATTTCATCTATACTTCATATAATAGAGACAGGAAAATGACATATTTCCAAACATGGAAAAACACGTGTATGTGCAGAAACATCATTTAGAACTACCAATTAATTTGAAATGATTTTGGTGTGTTTGCTGAAATGTTTTTTCTGCATTTTTCCTTATTTTAAAATATTGAGATTCCTCTTGATACTTCAGATTTCTGCAGTAAATTTTGGTAGCTATTTATAGATATTCCTTCCTAATAATGAATTCAAGACAGAGCTAAGAACTTCTGGGTTTGGAGATTTCCTGGATGTCATGCTGTTTTTGTAAGAAATGCCATAAAAATACTTTGAATACCTGAAAAACACTTTTTTTCAAAACCCAAATGAAAAAAGCCAACAATGAACAAAGTTGTCAGTATGAAAATTTAATTGGAAATTCTATTTTTTTTTTCAGTGAGGCAATTGTGGCTAAGTGACTTGCCCAGAGTCATATAGCTAGGAAGTGCTATGTGTCTGAGGCCAGATTTTAACTCAGGTCCTCCTGATGGCAGGGCCAGTGCTCTATCCACTCCACCACCTAGCTGCCCCAGGGAATTCTATTTCTATAATCGAATTCTTTTACAGTAAGAAGGGATCTTAGCGATAAAGTAAATGAGACCTAAAGATTAGTCCTCTGGTCACATGATATAGCTAGTGGCACAGAAGAAGGAAAGTGGAAACTACAGCCAGCAACAAAAGTGAGGAAAGGAAAACAAAGAAAGTAATGTGAGGGTCTAGGCACATCTCTATAAATTAAAGTTAAGAAATTCCTCAGTGTGTATTTGTAAGCCACGTTAAGTTATAGAAGAACACTGATTATTTCCACTTAACAGAGTTATACAGGCCAATCCAGTGGTGTGAAACCCAAACAGAAAGGAGGTTATCCATTTTGTTCAATATTCCCCAATTGCATCTTAATCAGGTTCAGGCTGCACTTTGCTGGTGTTTGACCCCTTTGTGCTAATCACTACTTCAAAAATTAGCTTTATTAATTCTATTAGGCTGATAACTGCCTTTTTGTCACTTCTGGCCATTAGTACAAGTTGAGAAGAAATCAGACATGTCTCCTACATAATACCTTGCCCAACATTTGAAGCTTGTGTGGCTTCCCAATGTTAAAGGATGTTTTCTTTCCCATCACTTGCAAACTCCTTGTGTGTTTTAAAGAAAAGTCACTATTTTGTGTCCTTGACCCAGAAGCAATGTGCCTGGACAGTAGGTGGTATATGCACTGTACAGTATCAAAAATCAAAATGTTGTTAAACACTTCCCACTTTAATCTGGTCCCTGTTGCTTTTTGGGGGCCTGTGAGGGTGGTACCTCTGGTGTAGAGCACTCTGAAATTAAGCATCAGAAGTAGGACTTAAATACAGTTCTTGCCTCTCTATCCATTACAACACACAGTATTTCATGTATGTCAATAGTTCTATTTTGGTTATACCATGTATAGTAGTAACATGATCATTGATGGTAAACTGCATTAAATACATGTTGTCAGAAAGTCAGTGTCCTTGGAAATGTACTGAAACAGCCAAATTTAGTCTAAAGTATTCTCCCATGTAGAACAAAAAAGAGCTTGTCAAGAAAGACTGAAGGGGCTCCAAAGGGCTGCACTTACTGGGAGACTCTATCAATTCATCAACCCTATTGCAGGCAATGACATTCACACAACTCTACATACTTGATGGAAGGATGGGGATTGTGAGCCAATTCTAAAGGGTAATGAGAGTCTAAACAGATTCTAAATATTCTCGGAGCTTCAGCTGTATATAATCAATGTTTGTCAACATCAGAAATCACAGTGATGCCACACAACTCCAGGTTACTCCTGAGGAGCATGGGTTTCATCTTCACGGACGCAGGCAGGATGGGCACATTCCTTCTCGACTCTATGTGGCACTGGGCAAGCAATGACAACTCTGGATCTCTTTGAGGTCACCGGTCAAATGAGGGCTTTAGGTGAGACCCTCTCTCGGTCTGCTTCTGGCTTTCAACAAGGAGAAGCAGGAGATGCTCATGCTTACATTTCCCTAGTGAACATGACATTGTTCTTTCTTCACTAGATCATCATAAGAGTATAAAGAACTGCACAAAGACCAGTACACCACAGAGATGGAACCCTGATCCTGTCCCATGAAGCAGGAAACAAGGGCCAGTTGGAGGTTATGGGGAGGGTGAAAACCACCCCCTTTTGGCCCCTGGCATTGAGCTCACCCAAAAGCTAGTGGAACAAGTGAGCCCCTGAGGAAAGGATCAAACTGACCAAGGAGAAGGGGTTAAGAGGGAGACCCTTTGGGCTGGCATCAGCCCCAGCAGGACCAGGCAAGGTGATCCTGACACTGCAGTTGGCTAAAAGTATGAGACTTCCCTATTTTCCCCCTGCCTTCAAGCTCAGTCCTACCAGTGAGAAGCGGGTAGAGCGGGCAATAGGGGCTCTAAAGGTCCTTGGAGCCAGCATGCCATGCCCAGCCCCTCTGCTCAGGTGTTGCAAAGGACTCTGTGGCTTCCATCTTGTCTCTGACCTTCAAACCCAGAGGGCTTCTACTACTAAGGGGCAGCCAACTGGTATAACTTCTCAAAAGCTCCGCACTTTGAGAGAGGCCCCAAGTTCCATACGTTGGCAGGGATGTGCTCAGGGCACTCAGGCTTCACCTATGCAGGAGCCTCTCAAGAGCTGAAATAGACTCTTGTCTTTGGTGGGGAGGGCAGGGTCATGGGGGTCAGTAAGTCTCACCCCAACCCCTGCTCATCAGCTACACTGGAGAGGGAGAACTTATTAAACACTGAGTTAAAAAACAATCTATGGTGTGAAGAAACATGACCCACAAATAGGGTTTTCTGGTAAAACCAATTGCACTGGAGCAAAATCTGCAGTGGTCCATCTGTGGAGATGGCACTGGGATGGGCCACAGTTTACTCTTATAAAATCCAGAGAAAATTTCTCTACTACCACCAGTCTTAAGGAAACAAATGATCCTACATCCATTGAAAATTTCCTAGTGCGCTGTACCCTTTCTAGACAACACTTTGTGGAAATGTGGTACATACTCTCAATTGAGAAAGGCACCTTCCTTCAAGCATTGTCTAATGAACCATTTCTGCTCTTTTAATCAAACTTTCCTTCGGTTAATTCTGGATCAATTTGAACAAACACACAAGTAGTGTTTTGCTGGTACTGTTATGCTCCTCTATTGAAGGTATTCATTTTCCCCTTTTTGTACTTGGTGGATATAAAAACATTTGTTCAATTTTACCTGCAAAATATTCTGAAAAAGGTTTCTCAAGCCTTACCTCTGAGCTTTCTCTTCCGGGTAAATAAACGCTTAATACCATTAAACACTCTCATACATCTAGTGAGCTTCATAACAGCAGCTCACCTAAGCTTTCAGATATCTGAAAACAACTGCACAGTTATTCAGAGTAAACATCTGTTGCCATGACGCAGTTAGAACAGAACTAAGATTCACAAAGGTGGGGTAGAATGCCAAAGGTCATCTAACCACCAAACAGCAACAGCAGGTCTGAGACTTGACTGCTATTCTTGTGATGCCAAGTCCAGCAAATTTTTCCACCATGTTACAGGCACTAAAGGTCTTCCCCTCTGATGCTTTCTCATGATGGAGGTGACCCTTTGTTCTCTAGCTGGGCCTATCAGGTTGGAAGGTTTTGAATAAAGTTCATGTGACAGATAATTGCCCCATGAGCAGACTGAATTCAGAGAGGCTCATCACCAAACCACTGGCCACCAGCACATGACAGTTTTTGGTCACAATGATTTATTAAACAACACCTTAGCTCATTTGTACAGGGGATCCCAAAAGACTCCTTGGATTCCTGGTAGAGAGCTCTACAGCTTACAAAGCTCCCTGTATATAGAGGGAGTCCCAGAAGTCTCCATACAGTTTTAATCTTTAATAGACATAGATCTTCAACCTTAAAATGGAGACTTTGGGGATGGGCTGTATGATCCAGTGTGTGCCCACAGTAACCAGGGTGGGCTCCTAAGGCAAGATCTTTACCCCACCCCCACTTTAGAGCTGCAGGGATGAATCCTGAGAGAGGGTCTTTGCCGACAGACATCCAGGCAGGAGAGCAGGAGTGCCAGGACATTCAGAGAGCGAGGCCTTTTTCATTCTGAACCCAGGTTTTCTTTCCATTGCATTTCCATTGCCTCATCATCCATTACCTTGGAGTCAGGGGGACCTGAGTTCAGATCCAGCCTCAGACACCCACTAGTTGTGTGACCTAGGGCAAGTCATTTAACCCAGATCACTTCAGCAAAAAGTAAACAAGAAAAAAGAAAGAAAAACTATATGGGCTAGCTATTTAGACTTGCCCCTTGCCGTGAAAATCAGGTTGACCAAAAGGCTTTTAGGAGAGCTTTTGGCACACTAGGGCTAAAACGGATCTATAACCAATGCAGAGCCTAAACTGAGCTCCAACACTACAGATCCCTTAAGATTTCTGTTCAATTAAAAGGGGGGAGGGGGACAGGCACTCCTAATGTAGATAGAGAGCAGTCCATGACTTAGTGCGGAAGTTCTTAAGGAATTGTTTAGGCACCAAGGGATTAAGGTAGATCCCTAGGGTCACCTGACCCTAAGGCTTCCTGACAGCAAGCCCTACAGTAGAGTCCCAGTGCCAGGCTGACTCTAATGTGTTGTGTAGCTCATCAATTCGGTGTGAAATGTTCAGCAAAACTAAATCATAACCGCTAATGCTACCTCCTTGAGCTTTGCTTTGTTTGGTTATCTCATTAGACCTACAGTATCTCCACCGCAAATTCCATTTTTACTTCTGTAGACATCCATGCTACTTGCCTTTACCCATTTGTTGCTGCTTATCCTTCACTCTCAAAGAGGACCAATGACATCAGGAGGGTGATGTCTTGACTTGCAAGTCCCACTCTCGGCTACACTCTCTAGACTCCATCTCCTTCTCCTCATATATTTGGATCACATTCCCACAATGAGAAATCTCCCACTGGGGCCCTCCTCGCCTCATTGGTGACTCTTTCCATTGACCACCATTCTGGAAAGGACCTCAGCCATACCTCTTCTCGTTCTGGCCTTAGCATTCCTCAGACTCCACCCTCTCCCCAAATTCGTAGTTACCTCACTCCCTTTCCAGCTGCTCTATAACAGGACTTCGTAAAGTTCTTCCAGGCTTAGTTCCTTTTCCATGTTGTGGTTGCATGATCTGAGGGCGTGTGCAGTGCAAAGTTCACGTGCTTTGTGTTCAAAACCAAGGCTTCCATGTAATATGGGCAAGCAAGAGTGGCCAGAGACACCTCGAATTCATCACACGTTTGATTTTGAATTCAATTTTGGTCGTTGCACATTCAGAAACCTTTTACTGTTGGCAAATTTTCCATGACCCCCATATGGGGTCACGATCCACAGTGTAAGGAGCGCTGTAGGCCTATATGTATTGTGTTTTCCTGTTAAAATGTAAAGTCTTGAGGGCAGAGACTGTCTTGTTTCCATCTATATCTAGTGCTTAGCCCAGCTTAGTGCATATGAAGTACTTACTGAATACTTTGTCCTTCCTTACCTGTCTAGCCTGTATCCTTTGGCACTGGGCCACAACAAATAAGCATTCTTGTTGCTTCAAGGCTTCACATTCTCAGAACAGCCTACATTCAATGTACATTTCGATCACCTTTTGAATGATGAAAGGCATCAGAAGTCATCTCTATCTCCAAGCCCATGCTGTATCCTCGTGATGACTCAGATGTTAACTCATGTCACTAGAGGGAAGACGGCACACAGAAAATCCAAAATGGCAGGTCATAGAGAATTGTAGTGGGCTAGCTTGGCATGCATCCCATGACTCTGACACCACATTGTTTTTCCTAGTTATGCTCTAATCTAGTACTGTCCTGGATTTTCAGGGCTGACCTTGGGCAGTAGTTGGCAGCCCCTCCCTCCATTTCTGAGCATCAGTCTCCTTCCCTCTCTTTCTTTGTCTCCCTCCTTAGGACTCAGTGGCCTGGAGTGCAAAGCAAAGTCTGTCTTTGGCACTTTCTCATTTCCCCTTTCAATGCTCCCTTTTTGCCACTCAGAGTCAATGAATTTACTTATTTATTCATTGATTCGTATGTTTGTTTTCCTCTCCAGCTGAATGTTTAGAGCTAGGAAGACCTAGATCCTAGATTTTAATCTTGCCTCAGATACAAAGTAGCTGTGTGACCCTGGGCAAGTCACTTGAGGAAACTAAGGCTCAGTAAAGTGATGATAATAATAGCACCGACCCCACAGGGTTGCTGTGAAGTTCAAATAAGATAATGCATGTAAAGAACTGTATTGATGTGGGCTATTATTATTATCTAGCCTAGGTTGCTTGTTCTTGCCTGTTTTCGTTATCTCTTAATAGCCCCAAAATGGTGCAAAGACAGATCATTATTCTTTTTAAAAGAACTGCTAAAAATACCTATATACTCTGTAGTGCTTTCCTATTCCTGGCTTATGTCTAACTTGACAGAAAAGGACACATGTACCCTGAGTTTCCACATCTGTAAAGTGGGAATCATAATCCTATTTTTATCTGTTTTTCCCTTTTTTAGTTATCTCCTAGCAGCCCCCAAACGATACCAAGACCAATCATTGTCCTTTTTAAAAGAACCGCTAAAACTCTCTATATACTGTGTAGTGCTTACTTATTCCTGGCTTATGTCTAACTTGACACAAATAGGACCAATCTAGCCTCAGTTTCCCCATCGGTAAAGTGGGAATAATAATCCTATTTTTATCTGCCTCACATGGCCCTTGTAAACAGTGACTTATAACACTCCAAAGCATGTAAATGGAAGTAGTTCTTATTTATGGAACAGGCCTGTGTTTTAATCAGTTCAGGGAGCTCTCAGTGACTCTACTAGTATAAATCAGCACCTTCTTTGCAATCGTATAGTCTGAAGAGAGTTGCCTGGTAATAAAAGGTCAAAGGACTTACCCAGGATCATCTGGCCAGTAGGTATCACAGGAAAGATGAATCCGTGTCTTCCTGGATTCTTGATGCCAAGACCAGCTCCTGTCCTCCATGCTGAATGGTCTCTCAATGTATCATTACTATTTTGCACAAATATGACCATCTCTGGGACATCTCTATAGCAAGATTGAGGTGTAGCAGTGCTGATTTAAACACTTCTTAGCTGGATGCCCTGTCTCAAGTTACTTAATCTCTCAGTCTTAGTTTCTTCATCTGGAAAATGGCAATAAGATTTTTACTACCTCCCTCATAGGAGTACAGTGAGGAAGGCACTTGGTAAATATGACTTTACCACACTGTACAAAGTATTTCAGAAATCTGAATGCAGATTTGAGCTATGAAGGCTTAATGGGCTTCACTAAAATGCCATCCTTACCTGTCTAGCCTGTATTCCTTGGCAAGAAACTAAAGGGTTACCCAGGATATCGGATACATAGGACTACTGCCATTGCCAAAACAGAAACTTCTTCATTTTCACAAAAGTATGGCAGAATGAGAAGAACCTTGTACTTGGAAAGACTCAAGAGCTCTAATTAATTCAGTGACCAAATATGATTCTAGAGGAGCACAGATAGGACCCGCCCCTGATCGAGATATAGATACAAGATGCGGAGGCACACATTTTTAAACATGGTCAGTGTGGGCATTTGTTTTGCTTGATTGCGTATATTTGCTAGGAAGGTTTTGTTTTTCCTTTAAATTAGAGAGTGAGGTAAGAGGAGAGAAAATAAACCCATATTGATCGAAAGATTTTCTTAAATGACCTTGTAAATTGACTTTCCACATCCCAAGAAAAAGGAATAGTTATCCCTTCCACATTGGGACTTTTCCCATCATAGTTTTGATATATCGAAGTTTGGCATAAGAAATTACATGGGAATTTGGGGAATTTGTGGAAGTCACAGATGACACATGAAGGCCAGCAGACAACAAAGAAAAAGTTTAACAACTCAGGAATGTATGAAATATATGTGTAGTATTGCACAATATCAACATTTTATCTTTTAATACCATAATTTAGATGTCTTCCCTGGTACAAAGGGAGGGCCAAAAATTTTACACACATTTTCCAAATTGTTCGGGCTCCAGGCCCCTAACCCCTGCTATGTGGAAGGGCTAACATAATTGATTCTTCTATTCAGGGAGAGGGAAGGACTTGCCTTTCCCACCTGTTCCCACATGGCAGGGAAAGGGGTATCTAATTCTCGCTAGGAGAATTGTTGCAAATATACGCACACAAATCAGGAGACCAGTAAACGTAATGTGAGAACCCTGGTAACCTAGAGACAGACAGACTACTACTGCTGCTGCTAAGGGGTGGACTACAAACATTTTGCAGCACCCTGGACACTATTCATTTAATGGAGGCATGACTAGCTAAAGGACTGCTCATTTGCTGCCACCTGGTGTTCAATTTCCCCCACCCTTTCTTCCAGGCCTTGAGAATCGAAAGAAATCTTTCCCTCCTAGTCCCTTCAGGAGAGGCTGCAGTCACAGAAAAGCTTATGGTTCAGTGTGAGGGCTCTGAAAATTTTTGTTGTTTAGTCATTTCAGTCATGTCTGACTCCTCATGGCCCCTTTTTGGGATTTTCTTGGCAGATAGGATGGGCTGGGGAATATTTAGAGAGGTCTTCATTCTAACCTCCCCAAGATCTCTCCACCTTTGGTCTAGATCCCCCACAGAGCCTTCCTTTCAGCTCATATTCCTCTGAATTAAGGAGGAAAAAAGGTGAAGGACTTGCATGGACTCTTTGCAGAGAGAAGGTAAGGCTTACCAAAGGAGATGTTGGACTTTACTAACAGTATTTTTTGAAAATACAAACTCTCTAGGCCTCAGTGTGCTCCTGTGTAAAATGAGAGAGCTGGACTACAGAATATCAAGGTCCCTTCCAGCTCTAAATTGAACACAAAGGAATTAATCTAATGGTGGGAAATTTGGGATTGGAGGGGAAAGAAGGAGAAATCACAACTTAGAGGTGAACACCCACTCTGTCTAGAAAGATGTCTGGTCCTATTAGCCCATCTCCAACCATTCAGGCCTCCCAAAGGTCTGTCAATGTTTGCCCTCCATCATAGCATTTTTAGAGCTTAAAAGAACCCCATCTAAACCAGCTCCCTCATTTTATGTATGAAGAATCTGAGTTTGGCATCAAACCCGAGGGGAAGCATAGATTTAGGGTTGGAAGTGACCTTAGAAGCCATCTGTATTCCAATACCATTTTACAGAGGAGTAAACTGAGACCCAGAGAGGTTAAACTTGCCCAAGGTCACCCAGAGAATAAGTGGCTAAGGCAGCATTTGAACCCAAGTCTTCTCTTTCCATTGTACCATACTCCTTTTTTCCCACAGCCAAAATAATGAGCTGATTTTGACTCAGTTTTGTTCTTTTCCTTTGGTTGTTCTGGAGTGGTATCATTACAATCTGGTAGAATGTGGCTAAACGTGGCACCATAGTGGCTATTTGCATGGTTAGTAGTGACACTCTATTCGGTGGCTAGGCTTTTGGCTCCCAGGACCAATGCTTGCTTGAATACATCTATCTGCATATTTGTATTTAACCTTGCATATGGGAGGCATCTAGGAAATGGTTGTTGAATGGATTTGAATGTTGAATTATGTTCTAGTCTAGCCATTGTAAGCTGCTGATTGTGTTCCTATGTGGAAATGTGAAAAGTAGAAATCAAGGAACACCAGTCTTTCCTCCAACCCTGCAGGGCTAAGGGGTAAGTGAAGACAGCTGCTTCGTTTGAAGCAAAGCTGCTATTTTCAGCTCTGCAGCTTCTCATGGACTTTGAAACCCTCTTTCTGCCAAGTCTTGGTGACCTGCTGACAGACAGCATGACCCTCTTTGATTGCTGGCCCCCAGGGTGGGTCTGTCCACTGCTGTTTCCCAAGAGGCCAGCCCCAGTCTTCCAGGCTTATCAGCACAGTCTTTTCACACCATACAACATGCTGTAATCTTTCCAGACGTTCAGTTCCTTCTCACCATAGGAACTAACCTATTGGCATCCAATAGGCGGGTCAGCCACCTGTGATCAAGAGCTTAATGGAGAAGACAACACAGAAAGTCCATCTCAAGGACGATGGGAAAGTCTCTCAGGAGGTTAGGGGCCAGGTTCAGAAGTGCTCATACCCAGGCAAGATCTTCCTCTATGCCCATGAGCCTGGCTGCATAAAGCTGGGGGAAACTGGGCCTCTTTTGTAGGCTCAGCTTTCTCCACTGGGAAGAAGACCTAGATCATTATACACTTCACTCTGGCTCCTGGACCTCTGGTAGCTGGATATTCCAACCTTTCAAAGTTTACCAGGTTGCAGTCTAGTCTGATTACCTAAAAGGAGGAGAAATCAGACATAATAGAAACAGAAACTTGTGGCCCCTGCACTCACAGGCCACATGGCAGTAGCCTGGACCAGAAGATAAAGGCCTGAGGCTACTCTCCCCACCTAGAGGCTTAAAGACCTACTTACTCCAACACCTGCCAGGCTGAAATCCTCTGCAGTGAATTCTGTTAGCATTTTCGATTCCCACTGGGCTATCCTGCAAAACACTCCTGTTATTCACATGGTAAGCAGACTGGGAACAATATCTGTGTGGGCTTGGAATTGTGAAATTGGGGCCCTTGCATTACTAATCTTCCAGTCTTTCTGGAAGCAGGCTACCCCAGCCTATTCCACATGGCTAAGCAAACAGTCTGTGCTCATGAGAGCTAGGCTTGCTTGGTCGTTCTTCTGTCACAGGAACTTTTAGTTAGCCAGTATATCCCTATTAGCGAAACAATGTGATGTTGTGAAAGTTAGTGTCAAGACAGATCAAAGATTTATTAATTGTTAATTAGTAAAGTAGCTAATTGTGTCAATAATTAATTTAATTTGGGGGTCCAGCAACCCAGAGCCTTCTGAGCAACAGATAACTCCCAGGGAAGAAATCTGCCATTTTAAAACCTAACTTAAGATTCCTTTTGTTGATGCAGCAATGTAATCAAGAATTGTCTAGGGAGAAACAAGTCTTTTCCACCTGTGTAAAATAGTGTTTTAGGAAACCAAAAACTTAGAGTTTTCTCTTTGTCCTAGCCTTCCATCTACTTTTGCTATACTCTGAGCTGGGACATCTGTGCAGGTCAGATGTTGTGAAGACATCCCTTGAATCTCAGACTTCAATTTAATAAGGGCCTTAACATTGGTGCTTCTTCATCTTTATATTGTTCATGGTCCTTCCTGGATTCTTGTCCTTCACTGCTTGAGATGTTATGCTCTCTGCATTTCTAGTCCAGAAGCCAGAAGACTCCTGTGATTCTCTCTCAGTATATCTCTTTGGTTTTGGACGGTTACTTCTGCATGCTGATCTTTTACCATCCTGTATGCTAAGAGATCTTAGTTCACTTTGCCTTTTATCCAATACAACCCAAAGAACATTTACTATTACTATTTGCAAGATATTATGCTAGGTGCTGGAGATACAAACATGAAATCAAAAATAATCCCTGCCTTCAAAGAGCTTACATTCTACTGAGGACACACAACATGTAACAAATGGATTTATCAGTTTGACACATTCTGTTTTACATGGACTCTTGCCATGTCCACATTGCTACTGGCACTTCCATTCTGTGGCCATACTGTCCTTATTGGTGAAAGCCCCCTATTCTGAGCTAGACTCCTGCCTATGACTCACCCTCACTGTTACCCTGCCATGCAGCTCACTCTGCATACAGTACTCCCTTCCCCACACACTTTTCCATCACTACATTTGTTTATACATTAATAAATTACTCCTTTCCAGGAGTCTCATTGGCCTCTCTGACATCATTGCTTCTAATTCTATCCTCTAGGACCAAGAAGAACAACTCTGATTTTTCATATACTTGAAGACATCCATCATCTCATGACCCCCTCCACATCTTCTCTTCTAGGCTAAACATCCCGAGTTCTTTCAATGGATCCTCACGTGGCACAGCCTCCACACCCCTGAAGTTTAGTTGTTGTTCATTTGTGGTCATTGTGATTTGGAACCCCTTGGACCATACTCTTAGTGAGGGTTTCTTGGCAAGGGTAATGTAATGGTTTGCCATTTCCTTCTCCAGTGGATTAAGGCAAACAGAGCTCTAGGGTCATGCAGCTGGCAAGAGTCTGAGGTCAGATTTGAACTCGAGTCTTCCTAACTCTAGGCCCAGGGCTCTATCCACTGTGCAACCTAGCTGCTTCATGCAATTAGTACTAAGGGACAATTAGCAAGGTCAAAAAAATCAGCACCATGGTTAGCACCAAAGGTTCAATTCTTTCACTGTCAGTTATTTCTTCCTTCCACAACCCCAAGGCCAAGTATTTTTCACTTTGGGGAATTTTGGTCATAGAAAACAAGAGTTAGAAAGAGCCTTAAGAACCATCTAATCCAATTCTTTCATTTCCTATTGGGGCAGTCGATAAATTACTAAGCCTAGAATCAGGAAGACCTGAGTTCAAATCCAGCCTCAGACACTTATCTGTATGATCCTGAGCAAGTCACTTCACCTCTGTCTGCCTCAGTTTCCTCCTCTGTAAAATTGGGATAACAACTCCTACTTCCCAGGGTCATTGTGAGGATCCAATGAGATTTTAGTTGTAAAGGGCTATATCAATGTTAGCAATTTTAATTACTATTAATTGAAACAGTTTGTCCACAGTCATGCAGCATACCAAGCCAGGATTCAGCTATGGACTCTCTAACACCAAATCATTCTTCTTTTTACTATGTCACACTGTTTACCCCTTTCAGACTACCCTTCACATTCAGTTCAACCTGATTTCACTTACCTAAACCTTCATGAAGCCCCACTTCCTGGATTAGTTCAGAGGTGACCTTGAATCCTTAAAGGCTACACCTTGATTACATGCAGGGTGATTTGCTCAGTCAAAGGGGCGGAGAGTGGTAAAGGTACAGGGTCTCTACCATGTTGGAACATAAAGCTACAGAATGGATACTGAGCCCAGAAGTCTTCTGTGCT